GGTGGTGGAGCTGAAGAAGAAACTGAAACGCTTTTGCGCTTCACTTCGCTTATACCACGTGCCTAGCAGATAGAAGCCTTGAACGTAAGTTGCAGATTAGTACGGTAGCCAAACACACACAGCGACGAAGATAGCACTTACACCCCGGGAACATGCCCGTTTCGAACATCCCTAAGACCTGCGTATCAGCCTACATCCCACACCAACAACGAACATGAGAGCAATTGTACCCAGAAACCAGCGCGTGGTTACCAATCCACCCCAGCTAGTCACCAGTCCTTGACAGATCATGACGAGGCCGAAGCCGAACATGCACAGGGACACTATGAGCATCAACAACATATCAGCCAATGTCCACACCACAACCATGCACAATGCCAGATACTCACACCACACATGCGGCTTCAGCTTCTTGAGCAGCAGGTTGGATGGGATCTCGAAGAGCACATATGGCACGAAGAAGATGGTCAATGCAGTGTTGTATTTGGTACCGGTGACAATGTTGAGGTCCTTCTGCAGTCCGAGCACCGCAGCGTTACTGATGTTCACCCTGTTGCCGTCCACCGTCAGTGAACCTATCACGTACCTATCTTCCGGGACGTAGGGAAACATACCGATCCAAGAAAGCCAGCAAATACATTATGCACAGGCATGGGACGATGTGCCAGTCAATCTTGGCCATCAATTTGCGCTCGGTCGTGGAAGTCAGCGGGGGCAGGCCCGCAGCGGACGTCTGGATTTGCTCCTCGGTCTTCACCTCGGTGAAATAAGGGGACTGTGAATCTACGTTGCACATAAAGGTGTCAAAGCACTGGATCGTGCTGCGCATGAACCGTATGGGAGGACATACCTGGATCGCGACCCATTGTGCTTGATCTCACTTTGACTACAAGCTTCAGAGACCGGATCCGAATGATAGTTGGAGTAGACACTGAGCTTATGAATCAATCCGTAGTAGTGCTTGCTTTATATTCAAGACTGATGAAGTAAGGTGGTCAGGACTCTGGGAGTGACGGTCTGTGTGCGTAACTCACTCGGTAAAGATGAGTACAATCGAGTCTCATGGGCATCAACAGTGAGGAACAGAGACGCGCCCGAATTAGGGGATTTCAGAGTCTATTTGTGGAGAGTAAGCGGAGGAGAAGAGGGGAAGGAAAAAGTCAGCTCAGCTGTGTTAACACCCAACTACTCAGCGACAGCTCACTAGGTATCAAAGATGCAATGGGAGCCGACAGTGCCAACCAATCCAGCCAGTCACCTGAGCCGGCACTCAATACCGACCTGCGACTTGAAGCTCGGCTGAAGAATTGGACTTGCAGCCTGACGGTTGACTTTATGCTAAACTGGCTGGGATCTACATTATCAGGCATTTACTATATGAGCTTAACATACAGAAGACTGCTGCAGGTAGTAAACTTGTCAATCCCGGTGAGCATTCTATAGACATGTATCCGGATATAGCATCTTCTCTATACATACAAACCTCAGATATGAAAAGTCAATTGAAGCGGGGGAAACCTCCAGCGCAAGTCTCACCCTCGGCAAGTATAATGGCTCTAGACCAGTCTATCAGTCTGTCCGGTAAGGTATAGCTGAGTTCAGCTTTAGAAGTAGAAAGAATTGACTAGTGTAGAAGTGGATTTCCCCATACTCGGATGACTAAGGCAGCTGCCAGGCGGGTCCACTCGCTTCTCCCCGCATTTCATGAAATATACTACGTACGTATGAGTATGTATGAATGTCCACTAATGATTCCAGACGTTACCCCTCCTAGGTAACTACTAGGCTACGACGATCTAGAATTCTTCCAGTTTGAGGAGGTGGTCAGGCTATAATTGGTTTCCCGATATCGTACATTTGCCCAATCTCAGCGCCAGATTATTCCGCCCTCTATCCGCTAGTCATCTCCGGTTCTAGTGACATGTCAAGGAGAATAGATACATTCGTGGTAATTGCTTAATCGCCGGTCGTGCGAGGAGTATATATAGTAGAGGAAGGTCGTTAAATGTTCATGCAAAGAGCAACATCTTCGTAGAATGTGGGAATCTCTCCAAGTCATGCAGTTAGTCCTGTTGAGGGTTGATCTTCTACAGCCTTGCCCCACGCCGTCTCGAAGGTTGAGTCATCTGCAACTGTCAGACTCGACATCGATTGAAGAGCCTGGTCCTCAATGTCCTCCGCGTCAACCATGACGGGGCCGGGGGAAGAGGGCGTGTCGGAGCTTGCTTCTGCCGGCACTTTCATCGATTGCGTTTTCGCATCAGACTCGAGCAGCTCAGCATCGAAGTTGGAACTGTACACGACGGCCGCAAAAGCTTCCAGCTCCCGAACTCCTTGTTCCATGGCATTCAGGTACAAGTTGGGAGGCGCAGTGCCGTTGCCGATCACATGGGCTTGTCGAGCCAAGACGGCCAGCACATTTGCCAGCTTAGTCTTCGGTTCTGAGCTGACTGCCCCGGGGATGACCGTAGCAACGGAAGTGAATGACTGAGGGGCAGGCGTGTGCGATGATTTAAAAGCTTCGGCTGCGCATTGCTGGATCAAGGTTTCGAAGCACTCGTTGTTGAGAAGCAAAACAACGCGGGTAAATGTTGGAGAGTCAATGAGGTCAGCTGTCTCGTCCAACAGGTGCCGTAGTGTCGCAGTGGTTTGAGGGGTCGAGGGTTCCGTCACTCCTAGAACACCGGACTCTTCCAGTAGATGATCCTCTTCCTCTCTTGGGGGAAGCAGATAGGATAGCCACTTCCGGTGTCTAAATGGTCAATGACATGCCAGCAAACATATGGCAAGAATCGAACCTACTTTCTGTCTTCCTCGGTATTCCCCTCCACTTTCCTCCGGACTTGCAGGGTCAGTTCTGCCAGCTTGCCGCGCGAAATATCCTCTCTGGGGTTGCACGACCCGAATACTTCCGTCACAGCGGATTGCACCTCCTCCATCAATTGCTTCCAGCCACGGTGAAGAAGCCACCAACTGAAGGCCAGATAGCGCCGGTTGGTTTCGAAGTCATTACCCAGAGTCTGTGTAAGGTCATCATCATCATGATCTTCAAGTCTGATAGTCGATGCATCCGCTGGGGGTGTGGCCATAGAAATCACGCTAGACAGATAATTTCGACGACCGAGAAGGTTGAGTTGAATACGAGTGAAGATAGTCAGTAGGGATAGGGTGTAGATCAGGGTAAAGGACCTAGTGATAGCTGCCATGAAACCGTCAGCTCCCGACCTTGGTCAACAGCGCAGCCGAAAGCAACTTACAGGTAATCTTAACCTCATTCCACAACTGGGTCTTGTTTCGCTTTGGCGACGGCGAGGGTGCGGCACCCTCAAGTGTGGAATCTCCTAGTTGACTTGCGCGGACAAAACCATCGCTCTGGAAGCTGGAGAGGCTCCGGCGATCATCATCTGCGATACTCGGCGAGATTGAGCTTAGATCAGAGCTTGTTCCCTCCGCCGTGCCGAGGCGAGCTAGCCGCTCCGCGCGCTTCTTTTGTAGCTCTTTCGTCAACTCCTCGACCGGCAATGCCTCCAATATATCCTCCGCTGCAGTGGGTAAGAGTGCTAGGACAGTGTAGGTACAGTCGGTTTGGTTCTGTTCGAAGCGTCTCCGCAGGCTAGATCGAGGCAGGGCTTGTCAGCGACCGCTTCGGAGCACACGAGCACATCGCAACACGGCCCGAGCTATTTCATCAGCAGAGAGAACACATACTTTTCGCGAGCAATACGATCACTTCCCATACGCTCGCTTGCCTCCGAGATTTTGCCCAGTACATATTGGCCGGCAAGATAGCCCGCTCCGATAACGCCTGCTCCGATTGCAAGGCCCTTGCGATTGCGCCGGAACCAGCGCTTAGTGGCACTGATCATGGTGGAGCGATGATCGGGGGCGTCAGCAGGAGATAGTTCAGGGAAGTGGAGGAATATCAGATCATCCTATGTAAGAAGTAGGAGTAGAATAGAAGAGAGCAGAGGGTGTTTGACAGGAAAGAATTTAAGAATGAAGGATCAGGATGGTAAGAGGCGTGAAAAGGAAAGCAACCGTGGGGGTGGGAGAGGGAGCTGGCACACGGTCGGCGAGTAGAGAGAGAGGGAGGACAATCCGGCCTCGGCTAAACCAGTTCGGCGTATGATAACAGCTTGTGTCCAGCTTCAAGAGTTGTGTGATCATCGCTGAGATGGGTCTAGTATTATTAAATAATCAACCTGGCCTATTGACAACTTAAACATACATATATGCATACTATGTACTATACAGAGCATGTACTGTATGAGTACTAATCTCGACTCAATCTACTTCCCCGTCCATTCAAAAAGTTGCATCATCATCGCTGCTGCTGCTTGCTGGATCCTTATCCGGCCTGAGAACCGGTGCCTGGACTGTCAGGCTGACCTGACCTAGACCGTACCTGAAAGACAACCTTGAATCATCATACATAACCTCCAAAGATACAGCGCATCAATCGCAGTCCTTGTATAGCATGGTCTACAAGTGCTTCATGTAAGGTAGACTCGACTCAAAGTAGAAGAGAAAATAAAGAAACCATAAATCAGGAGAGAGGTGATGTTCAGGGAGGGAGAGCAGAGTATCAGCCAGCGTGGGGTAAGATTGATTAGGTATGCCGATTACAATGATTTTACATACCAAGGATGACTGACTGGAACCGACTTTCCCATTATCTCCTCCTCCTCCTCCTCCTCCTGCTTCCCCTCCACTCTTTCGATGCACCCTCTCTCTCTCTCACTACTACTACTACTACTACACCTCCTCCCAGTCTTCCCCCTACATCCTCCATGACATTTTCATACATTTTCAAACTCAGTATAACTTGCTACTGGCAGAACATGCACCCCTCATGAACCTTGCTCCATGTGAGACTTCCCGGCGATCATAAGACAATTGAACCCCCCTCCAATCCAACCCCCGATCCCCAACGACAGCGTCATCGCCCTCCGGCGGCCCTTACAACCCCGGGTTTCAATCATCCCCCCTCTCCTATTCTCACATCGCATACTCCCCACCTTGCACTGCACAGCGCGGAGACATATAGAACTTCGCCCTCGGTAATCGGAGAAGTGATAATCTGAACGGTATTATCAACCCAACGAGCACAACACCCTCCCCGCGCCCGCCATTTCCGGGCCCCGGAACGAGTTTCTAGGGAAGATGGAGCCCCGCAAAACGCCCCCGGAGTACTTCCTTGAGATTTTTGCCGACACCACCACCGTTCGAGATGTCTTAAAGGGTCAGTTCTGTTCGCCGTTGTCCAAACATTCCATCGGTCTCCCTGAGACTTTCAAATAACCAACACTTCTCCTCCAAATTTCTTAGGTATCCTTAACCTGATCTTCTTCCACCGATACTTTCCCTCCATCCGACCCACCACCTTTGACGTTCTAGACTTCACGCTCCCCGCCATCAACGACGTCGACCTCGAAACCCTCATTGACTCGCGCATCAGCTCCCTCGTCCGCCAACACTCGGCAACCAGCGGCGGCGGCATCCACGAAGGTGGTGGCGGCGGCGGCGGTGGTGGTAGTGGCAGTGCCGGGGGCGGCGTCCGCGGCCGCATCGCAGTGGAATTCTACGAGAAGCGACGCCGACGCTCCGGCATCTGGTTCGGCGGCCTAGCAGGCAAAGGTGAGGTGGAAGTCTGCTGGGAGGTCTGGAATCTGGACGTGACCATCGCCACGCCACGGACTGAATCTGGTATGTATGGTATATATAGACTTCACGCCGGTGGACATTTCCCCTCCAACATCTGGCATTTTCCTTTCTCAGCTCTTCCCCTACCCCCGCCCCAATGTCATACCCATCCTGTCGAATGGTCGCATAAAAAGAGGCCCGTTAATGGCGACCCCTTCGACTGACCACCATTTCAAATTTCTAGAACGGGCGAAGGTCCGCAAAGCAATGGAGAATATGCTCCAGAAGGCCGCACTGAAGATCCTCGCCGTGGTCAATCGCGATAAGGATCATATCCCACCCATCACAACCAGCGACTCCAACCCCTTCCCTTATCGCATTGTCCTCAACCCGCGCACAGATGGGTGGCAGAATAGGTTTGGGCTGTATTAAGAGGAAGGTGGAAGGGGGGTCCCACCCTCAGCGGTCTTGTCTGCTTGCATTGGCATCTGCATTGGCTGGGCTACAGATACCCAGGGCATTTTCATCACTTTGATTTCTATCTATCTACTCCTTTTCACCCCACGACGGTGTCTGGCACCCCGATGGTTTTGGTCATGTGCGAAAGTTAAGCATGAGACTTTCGTCTCGCGGTGGGCCAACATATCTAGAACTTGTGGATGTACTGTACAATACGATACGACTTTAGGATTATGTTAGTCCCCCTTATGACTTGTCTTGGCTCTCGACGTTTCAGAGGGAATGTGTCATATACTCGGGGAAGGAAACCAGTCAAAGACGCAATCAACAGTGCTCAAATTACCGAGAGACATTATGCATCCAATATACCTAGCTAAATCATCCACTACGGCACGGAACTCGATCTTCCAACTAGTCCCGCCCGTAGCATTCCCCACCCCCCCCTCCGTCATGCATCATCCATCAATCACATCCATAAAACGTTCTACTGCCCAAGCAATTCATGACAAAACAAGAGTAACACGACAAAGATTGGCCCAGCCCAGACTCTCCATTTTCTCCACCACCAGGAGTCCCAAGAACTCCAGATGGTTACCTTCCCTCTTTTCAATCTTTATTCAATCCAGTTCAAAAGAACATGAATCGTCCAAACATGTCAAAGAAGATGTCATATCCAACACTCCGCCGGCTGGTTCGGGGTTTTTTTCGACCTCCACCTGTTGAGAGCCCTGGGGTCCGATTTACAATCTATGGAGACTGTAGATCGGCCCCGCAGCTGCTCAACTTTCTAAGTAAAGTCTATTTACTGCGCCTTGGTGGCAGCGTCGGCCTGGGCGCGGAGGTTCGCAGAGGTGGAACCACCCTGGAAGAAGCGGCCGAGCACGGGCTGGATGAAAGAGTGGAAGACGATTTGAGCACCGCTAGAGAAAAGTGTCAGTCAGAGCCGGCTGAACAACAATGGGCGGGTTGAACAGGGTGACATACTTGGTCTGGGGCAGAGCCATCCAGAGGACAAGGGCGAACTTGAAGATGTAGTAGAAGGCTGTAAATCGCGCACATTAGTCGTTTCGTTACTTCATCAATGACCACCACCCCCGAAGAAGAGCAACGGATACGTACGGAACCAGTAGGGGGCGCTGACGGCGCTCTCAAGGACGGTGAAGAAGGCATAAACAACCCAGTACTATGGCACAATCACATGTTAGTTGCTGCTGAGAACAGACGTCACGTGCTCCAAGGTCGGGTGGTCGGGATGGAGGGTATCTCCATCTCGGGACCATGCCGCCTGAAGCGCGATAAGAGAATGCGATCATGGGGACATACCGTCAACCACTGCAGAAGATTGTCGGGTTAGCATCGTTGTCCATTTTTGGTTTAGAAGGATCAGGATTGCAAAACATACCTGCGTGTCGTCGGCCTTACCGGCGGTGAAGAGGGCGTTGAGGGAGTAGTAGCCAGGGATGACAAAACCGGCGAGGTTGACGAGGAATTCACCGGCAATGTTGAAGAAGACGAGGAAGGTGTAGATACCAACCAGGCCGAGGATCACGTAGACCTTGGGGACGGAGGACTGGCGCTCAAGGTTGTTGAGGACGGGGTACTTGGAGAGCTGAAGAGGAGTTCCCACAAAAAGGGAAGATTAGCTTCAGAAATATCAAAACATGGTAGGAGCTTCATCCCTCGGGGATCAGAAAAGCAGCAAAGCAAACAACAATCACACAAATCAGAGCCAATGAAGCTTGAGATGTCGCAGTTCGCACAAAGCAAGACACGGATGAGGCCGAAGCCGACGCACACACGACACTTACCTCCTTGTCGAGCTGGGCAATGGCGTGCTGAGCACGATCCTGGAAAGAAGCCATTTCGAATGGATTGGACAAGCTAATCTGAACAACTACGATTAGATCGAGGTATTGTGAGATAGAAAGATTGAAAGTTTGGGAAGGTTCTGGGTGGTTGGAGGGGGAAGAGTACGAACAAGGTGGTTGTAAAGGAGAAGAGTCGAATCGTTATCAGTAGGCAGGATGTTTTGGCAGAGCTGGGGAAGAAGAAAGGGAAGGAGAGGTGAGATTCAAAAGGACGAGCTGGCGGTTACGGAATGGAAATCGGGCCTGTTTCCCCAATGACGGTGCGTCACATCACGTGATGATTCGCTCATGACGTCGAGGGCTTTGAAGAAGCCCAGATGACGTGGTGCTGGGAGTCTTTCACTTCGGCGGAACTTGGTCTAGAAGCCTCGATATCAACGACTAACTATTGTTCATTTCCTGGGGAGTTTCCCAGCATCATATGGGCCCTTTCATCTCGTTTTTTTTTTCACCTCCTTCTTTAGGATGAAAATGTGTATCAGCGACCCTCTCGGCAGATGCGGTGTGCATACAGTACAGTACGGATAGCTGCGGAAGAAGATAGCGTAATAAATGGTATGCTCCTCGTACGGTATCGTATGGATATGCTACGCTGCCAATCTATTAGCTTCTGCTGCAACAACAGCAACAACAACAACAAATGGCTGTAGTTTGGACTATCTATATCCCCATGCCTTCCTCATACTCATATTATGCATGGTACTACTGTAGCTCTCCAGAGTTCCAATCAGAGCTGAACCAATAATCTCCTTCCACGCATCACTCTGCTATATCCAAGTGTTCCCCCAACCACTGTACTGGTGCTGCAGCTGGGGCCAGCTTGCATTTGCAGTCCCCAATCGAACAATCCAGAAGAGTAGCGACCGATCAAGGCCCGCATTAGTACCCAAGCTAGACTTCTACAAGGAGAAACAGCAATAGATACATTTATACATAGATCGGTCTGATCTGGATCTGCCACCAGGGATGTGCAAGGAAGAAGATTCAATTAGTTATTCCTCCCTTCATACGTGGCTCAGAACCAAATCATCGATTCGGTTCTCGACTCCGTACATGGTAGTCCGTACGGTACAATCCCCTCCCTCCCTGTAGAGCAGGCCCCTACGTAGAATGTGCTACATAGTATCACTCCGCCCGTCGAGCACCATTCCCTATGACGAAACCACAATCAGACAACAACTCATACATTACAAAGGACTACATTGACTATGGCTAAATCACAAAAGGACGGAGAATCCAAGTTACAACCAAGGCCATCATCCTCCGAGAGACGCGTGGTCTAGCCACATTTGCCCCCAGGCCCAACGGCCCGAGCAACGGCCGTTGCAGAAGTCGTAGGAGGAAAAAGGGGGGAAGGAAGGGGAAGGAGAGAAACGAAAATGAAACATGTCTTCGACCAGGCTCCCAATCCAGATATCCTTCTCAGACAGCAGAAAAGATTTTTGGAAGAAGGGGAGGGGGGGAGAAGTATGAAATTCATGTCATTGTGAGTGACTGCAGGAAACAGAAAGAGTAAAAAAAAAAAAAATCAGGAATCGCTCGTCTTCAAGCTGGAGAGCATTGCGCCATCGACCGTCGTCCATCCGCAGCCACCAAAGTCATGTAACGCCGTCCACGGAGCCAAATATCGGAAGAGGGCATGTCAAGAAACACAGAAGGGTGAAAATAAAGAGGAGAATCAAAACAGTATAGAAGGTAATGTGCAATTAAGCAAAGGTTTTTGCAACACGTTAAAACATATCGGAAATCAGCCCACTATATCTGCAAAGCGTCTATTAGCGGTTCATTCATCCTCGTTCACACCACTGCCGCTAGTCGGTCCCATGCTGTCCCGGTTGCCGCTGTTGAAGGTCAGCTTCAGTTTGGGCGTTGCAACAGGACCGGGCGTGTCGGTGCCAGAAGCCGCAGCGGTTTGCTCATTGTCACCTAGGTCGTCATAATTGGCGAACTGGGGATGAGCTTCGGTTTCCTTCTTCAGTTCGGATAGACATTTGGCCTGTGTACTGTTAGCATCAATTCACCTTAAATTGACCTGTCGCAGAATATTTTACCTCGATGTCGTTGGCATCTTGAAACAGGATGCTGCCGTCCTCATTGTATGTTCGAGCGTTCTGACACAGAAGGTGGATATCATTACGGAAGTCCTTCAGGTTCTGGTACTCGTCACGGTTGATCTTCTTCTTGATCATCTCCATGGCGATTGGGTTCTGGATGATCATGTAGTAGTCAGGATACTGCGACTTTGGAGGCGGCTTCATAAAAGGTTCGATGATAGACCGGGTCACGGGCCCGTCCTCGCTGTCCGAGGAATCTGCTGGCAACTCCTGCTCCATGTCCATCAATGCCTGGTAGACACGGTTAACGATGCGCTGCAGAATAGCGCGATCCTCGCTGCTCAAGGTTTCGATGGGTTTGGCTTGTCTTCCTCTCTTTCGCTTGGGCTGAGGCGTTTCTTCCACAACCTCCTCTGCCTTGCGCTTGGGAGCAGGTCCGCGGCGACGTTTCTTTGGTTGAGGGGCTTCCGAGCTCTCCCGCGACGGTTCCGGTGAGGATTCAGCACCTGCCTTCCGGCTGCGCTTCTCCTTGTTGATACGACGGCGCTCAACTCTGGCCTCCTTTCTGGCGATCGCATCTTCGATGGTATCGTCATCGGCATCCACAGCCATAAGCCATTGTTCTTCCGTGAGACCATCGTCGTAGCGGGTCACCTTGCGTTCACGTGCACCACGGCCACCCACATCAACCTCAACTTCTTCTGTGACCGGGTTTTCTTCAGTAAGATAGATATCCGGCAGTTCTTCTTCGCACATGAGGCGAGGGTATTTGTGGCCAGGACCGTATGGGGTATTCTTTTGTCGCTCCTTGTCAATACGCTGGAACGTGATCAGTTCTTCGTCCGATCGTGCCATAATATCGTTGAGGTCGTCGTCATCCATCTCCTCCTGGTCACCGATTTGATCAGCGGCCTCCGCCGTCTCGAGCAGTGTCCGCAAGAGTGCGTCACGTTCTTCGTTGGTTGACTTGTTATCGAACTTTCCTGCCTGAATGACTTTGCCGTCCATATCAAGCTTGAACTGTGCACGTTCTAGGATTTTCTCTTCAACTGAATTGGAGCTGATGAGACGCAAAATACGAACTTCGTTCTTCTGACCAATACGATGAGCTCGATCCTGCGCCTGCAGATCCTGATGGGGGTTCCAATCGGAATCGAAGATGATGACGGTGTCAGCGGTCTGGAGATTAAGACCAAGACCACCCGCACGTGTTGACAACAAGAAGCAGAAGTACTCGGAGCCTTCGGCGTTGAACTTCTTCAAAAGATCTGACCGATCATCGGACTTGGTAGAACCATCGAGACGGAGATATTTCAGGCCACGAAGGCGCAAGAAATCCTCCATAATGTTCATGATCTGAGTCATCTGGAAAAACATCAAGACACGATGACCAGTGGCACGGAACTTGGGCAAGATTCTGTCCAATAGTTCGAATTTACCGGCCGTACGCCAGAGTAGATCGTTGGTTCCGCGTCCGGGGTTCATCTGATCTTCAACAGGCTCGAAAACAAATGGATGGTTACAAAGCTTTCTCAGCTGCATCAACATGTTACTGAGACCACGCATGCCGGTCTTACCACCCTTGCCATCACTGACGGCCATTTTGTTATGGGTGACAAGCTGCCTATAAAGCTTGGCTTGCAGAGCAGAGAACCGACACTTGATGACTCTTTCTTGCTTGTCGGGCAGATCCTTCTCGACATCCTTCTTCAGACGTCGGAGCAGGAAAGGTCGAAGAACCTTGTGCAAACGACGAATAACAAGCAACTGTTCTTCTTCGCTAAGTTCCATGCGATCTTGTCCACCCGTGTTAGCGAATGGTGTGTTGAACCACTCGTCAAAGGATTTCACAGATTTGAAGATATTCGGCAAAACGAAGTTGAGTAGAGCCCACAGTTCTGGGAGATTGTTTTGCAAGGGAGTACCGGTCAGAATCAGACGATAACGGCTAGTATAGTACTGCGACAAAGTACTGCTCAACTTCGACTGCGTATTCTTCATACGATGACCTTCATCGACGATCATGTGGGTCCACTTGATCTTGCTCAGAATAGGGCGATCCTTGATGATGTATTCGTAGGTGGTCAGAAGGACCTGGAAATTGCCCCAGCGGATCTGTTGTTGCTGCTGCTTGCGCGCATTGGGGGGACCCTTGTAGACAACCCTCGAGACCGAAGGTGCCCATTTCTCAAATTCCAGGTTCCAGTTGGTCAGGGTACTGAGAGGAACAATGACGAGGAAAGGCCCGTTGTTCTTCTTTCTCTCAATGATGTAGGTGATCAAGCTGATGGTCTGAATGGTTTTTCCAAGACCCATCTCATCTGCCAGGATACCATTGAGGTTGTTGTTGTAAAGTGAGATCATCCACTGCAGACCCTTCATCTGATACTCTTTCAGAGTACCGCCAACAAGGATGCTCGGCTGAACAGTGACTTCTTCTTTGATACGATGAGCAACAGCATAGTAGTCAATTTTCTTTCTGCCATCGCCCTCGTCTTCACTTCCAGAAGCGATCTCTTCCTCCTCTTCCTCCTCCTCGAAGAACTGGTCTTCTTCACCATAACGCTCAGCAAGACTGCGCTGTTGCTCCCGCACGGAGGCAGCAAGCTGCTTGAGGAAGTTGTCGGTCTGTTTCAACAGGTGAGAGATACGAGAATCCTTGGCTTGTCCGAGCAGTTTCAAGTAAGTCTCCTCATCGTTGGCCTTCAAGGCTTGGAGACGTTGCTTGGCAGTACGCTCGACACGTCTCTGCTCCTCACGCTCCATATGCTGATGGTGTTGAAGCATCATCCGACCCAACTTCTGCGCACGGGTGCGCTGCTGAGCAGCAGCATTTTGCAGTTCTGCGCCGTGGTTGAGGATGGCCTGGAGATGATCGTACTGTTTACGCTTTTCTCTGGTTTCGCGCGCATCGCGTTGTTGCTTTTCCAGCTTCTCTGTAATACGGGCTTCACGCAAGTTCTGCTTCTTCATCCGGCGATGGCTAGAGCGGTTCGCCGTCATACCCAGATTATCAAAGTGAAACATTTCGTGCTGCATCTGCTTGCGAAGAAGCTTCTGTTTAGGCAACAAGCTGAGCATCTTATACTCAATCAAAGCTTTCAGCTTCAGGGAATCGTCGCCCGTGGCAGTGTCACTCTGGCTAGAGTCCCAGACACCGAGATTGGCCGGAAGCTCAGCCAGCTCAGCCTTCCGCGCGTTGATCCTATTGTAGACTGCAAGTTCCCTCTCTTCGCGCACTTGGTCCATGTCAATGCCAGCGGGCATCAAAGCAGGCACGCGCATGCGATTAGCACGAGAGGTATGATCCGTGAAGCCGATGGTCTTGGGTATCAGATCATAGGGTGACTGGAAGGTTTGGTAGAAGTCCTTAGTCTGAGTCTCCTCTTCCATATTCATAGAGGACTCAGCCTTCCCTTGGGCAGCGCTGTCCAAAACGTTCTCAGCAGTCGCGATTGCATCTGCAGGGGCCGGAGCCTGCGCCTTTTTAGGAGGGAAGAGTTGTTGTTGAACTCGAGCTGGGATCGGGAGGTTCTTGGAGAGCATCTTGAAGGCCAAAATCTGGTTCCGAAGCGTCGCCAATTGCTCGGCAGAAAAGCTACTGCTGGCAACAGACATACCCTTTTGAGAAGGAATCTGGCCTGAAGCCTGCTGGGCAGCGGGCGTAGCTGAGGACCCATCCGATACCACGTTGACAGGGGCTGTGGCGGGATTACTGCGGCCTGTGGATGCTAGCGTTAGCGGAGAGGCTACCTAATAACTACCTGCAGACGCAGGTCAAGGTGGAAGCCATACCATTGACACCATTTGCGACGGCGGCGTTATCTGGAGTCACGCCATTGAGCTGCTGCTGGCGTTGTTGCGCCTGAAGCTGCTGTTGGGCGAACCTCTGCTTCTGAAATACTTGTTGCCGTTGGACTGCTGAAAGCAGGTTATGGGCTTTGAGGTATTCGGGGTCGTCATGGCGCACGCCTTGTTCTTGCATCTGCTTGTATTTCTTCAAGGGGAATTAGAGTTATGCCATGGAAAATTTGAGACGAAGAAAGGGAGGGTGTGTGATGGTGGTATAAGGAAGAAGAGAGTGAAGGGCGGGTCAACGCGGACGCACCTGCAGGACTTCTTGAATGTGTTGCTGCGTCAAGTTCGGCGGCAAGCTCATGTTTCCAGCCGCCATGTTGGGTGCTGACTGGAGAGAGGCCATGCTCTAGCGCGTGGTTGTTTTATTCATAAGCAACGCAGGAGACACGAGGGAGGCCTGGGTTGCGACAGGGCACAGTAAAGCGCTTAGAAAAACACGTGGGAATTGAGAGCGGCGACGGTAAATGAGGGATCGCGCGAGGGGAGCGATGGGGGGCGCTCAGTTACGAAAGTGAATGGATAGGGATGCCTCTTTGTGGATGGATGCGACAGGTAGCGGCCTGTATCTGGACTTTGGCGACAAGTTTCGTGATGTTTAGGCCGGACCGGGGGAGATACAGAGCGGTAGGCGACAAACAGGAGAATCAGTAAGTAGAGAGAAAGGGGCGTCTAACGCGAAGAAGAAAGTGTAAAAATGACCCCAAAGGGGGGGCCGGGGGTGAGAATGGCGCGTGGAAGGCCAGTCTGGATGAAATGGAGATGGAGGGGACGGGGCTTTCGCGACTTTCCGTGCTGGTCGGGGAAACTGGCGGTGCTCTCAGCCTGTGCCTGTAACGAGGAGAGGGTAGGCGGCGAGACGTTGGAAGAAGATTTCGTGCCGTGTCACGTGAGACTGGGATGGGGGATGCCGCTGCTGGCTGCTGGCTGCTGACTCAGCAACCGACTCTCGCGCGGCGGACTTGCCCGGGGGCCGGGTTAGGACTAGCGGGAAGCTCTCCCCAACCTCGGCCGATATGATGATTACTGTACCTATGGATGTGAAAGGGCATTCCCAACTACATACAATGTAAGCAGCTAATGATGATGATCACAGCAACAAGTCAATTCAGTCAAGATCTCAAGCATCGAATTGATTTCCCAACCATCAAACTAGTCCCATAACGACATAGCGAACAACAGTTCTATGCAATCCCTTCACTGTACAGTACAATTCAGAACCCCAGTGCTCACAACACTGTCGCGTCACCTTTTACAAAGATACACCACGAAGGAGAAGACTGCTTTTCTCACTTAAGACCACCCACTATCTTATACCACCTGCCAGCAGGATGTAAATCAGACTCAAATAGAATTGCAGCAACGTAGGTTTGCTCAGCAACCCACACCCCACATAATGCCCTCCCACCTGACTACCATATGCGTCAGAAACGTCCACACCCTACGCGTCACCTCCGATTGGGATCACCCTCTTCATAGGGGGTGGGGGAGGGGCGGGCTTCTTAGTGCGAGGGGGCGGAGGTGGGGGGGCCTTCTTGTGCAATGATGCGCTGTTGAGGGTGTTCGAGCTGGATCTTCTCGTAACTACGCTGCCATAGGATGGCCCCGGCGATTCGTTGCGTCCCATATAAGATCGATCTGGGCTAGTGCCGCTGCGTGGACTGTCATCCTCAGACGGATCCATGTACGGATCAGCATAACCTCTACCGGCAGGGCGCGTTTGACTGCTGTTTCGGCGGCCAATGTAATTCTCACTGGCGGACCGAGACGGCCACTGATACGGGCTGGAGGTGGAATCCTGGCGCAATTGCGTAGGGCCCTCAAAAGTTGAGGTCCTGCTCAGTACGGGCCGGCTCGAGTAAGCATCAGGCGGATAGACCTCTCTACCCGTCGGTTCAATCGAAGTGGCCCGGGAGGAGCGAATAATCGGCCGGACATCCACCCCATTGTGATCCTCCTCGTGCAACGGCTCGTAGCGATCGGCGAAAGAGTGTGCGGTGTTGGAGCGGGGACGGCCTGGACGACGGCCATTAGGAGTCTGGGAAAGAGGTTGTCTGCCGGCTTGTTAATTATTTAAACGCTTGGGACAGAAGCATGGGCGGGGGCAGCTCACCTGCCAGGCCACTCGCTCTTGAGCTGGAGCAGCACCTCCTGGCACTTTGCGTGGTAGCTCAGTTGAGCATCCAAAAACGCCTCCAGATTAATTACGCCCTCGGCTTCCGAGTCCTTAATGTCCTGCATTCTTCGGCAAACGTCATCGTTGGCCTCCTCGTATTTGACCTTCTGAGTCCGCAACTCCTCCTCCACACGGAAGTCTTCCCTCTTCGCTTTCTCCATTTTGGAAAGCGATGTATCGTATGCCAGACGGCGACCATCAAGCTTTTTGCGGGCAGTCTGCACTCCTCATCAGTACTCCTGCAACAAAATATCTGTGGATGATGGGTCTGGCTACCTGGTAGTCTTTCAGTTGGGTTAAAGAGTGTTCGAGCGACTCGAGCAGCCCTGCATTCACCTGAGAAATGTAGGCATCCTGGAGGCGAGCCAGGCGCTCCTCCGCTCTACCAAGCACTGCACAGAAAACCGTATGAGCATACAACTTCACCCCACAGCATAAGGGGGAATAACATACTGATCATGGAACGTCCATACTCAGAGTTTGCATCGAAGTCTTCACCGTGACCAACCATGCTGCTACCCAAATGGGCGATAGGCAGCGTCTTCTCCTTATCATCGCCTTCGCTGCGCTTCGAAATGGACTTAATATAAGCGGCAGTTGCCTTGTGGATGCGGTCGACACCTTATTCAGGAACGGAAAATTAGCAGAGTCAAAATAAGCGAACCGTGGGAGCAACCTACCATCGTGGCGCACGTTCATCTCCGTTTCCAAGGCTTTGAAGTCATCTGACAAATTGGTCTTAACTTCACCCCCCATTCTCTCGCCAGCCCATTGCTTGAAACGATCGAACTTCCGGTTGACGTTCATCTTGATTGCGGTGGTAGATATAGTAAAACAGGGGAACGAGCGTGGCGAATAGAGGGAATGTGTCCAGCGTTTCGAGGGTGGTTGGTGGTTCGCAAGATCGAGTCAAGCCAATTCAGTGATAACGAAAAGAGTAAGTATTCAGTAAGAGCGAGATCGGATGAATCAGGTGTAAATAGAGACTCGCAGTGCTCAAGCAAGGCACGGCTTGGGTATCGACAAGAAGTGAAAACAAGAAAAGCGCCACGGCCAGGAGGCGAATATGTGAAGAGATTTGGAGTAGTTCAGGTATAGCAGGGAAAGGGCAAAACAATTAAAATGCGCTTTGCTTGCGACAAGCGGGGGAAGGGGGAAAGGATGAGGAACTTGAAGCGGAGGAAGAGAAGAGAAAGAGGCAGAGTAAGTGAAGGTGGGAAGGTTGGAAAGGGGAAATTTCCTTGACCTTCAAGGTTGGGGTCATTAAATTATTTTTAATAACAGAGAGTGCTAGTACGTACTAGACTTGAACTAAATTGACTGGATTTGACTTGACAGTGTGTTTGTCCATTGCGGAATGACAGACAGCAACAGCAACTCTTCCTTTCTCCCCCATGCCAATCGCAAGCGGCCGATGTACTGAGGTACTGCACTGTACTGGCCCGGGAGTACTGGAGGTACAGTACGGAGACTGTACTCAGTAGGACTGAAAGCGCCACATTGCCTCTTGGTTTCCTAGCCAATTCAAATCACCCCCCACCAACACTGAGTGAATCTGATGGACAAACGTTTCCTACGAGATGAGGGGTGTTGGGGGGGGGGGGGGGCCAGAATGTCGAGTTCCAAGTTCATACTACAGTGGCTCCGCCATACTCGTACTCACAAAACCATAACCATATCTGACAGCAAATGAGTCAATTCGTCTAAATGGTTCCAGTCCGATCTTTCCTTTATGGTCATATCTCCTGAGCCCTGAAAAGTGCAGTTTGATGTACGAATTGATCAAGGAATGGAGCCGGGGGAGGCGGGGCCAGAACGCCAGGCGTTTGTTTGAGGTGTAGCTGAAACACAGGAGCATCACTAGTACAGTTCTTTACCAGACTGCTAAACTACAGTACAGTACGGAGTACCCATCGTATTCGTACCAATCCCCCATTCTTCCATTGTCGGACCTCGACCTTGAATGGCTTTCTCATTCTCGGGTTGTACTACCTTTGCTTGTGTGTATCACTCCACTGGCAACCCTCATAGGTTGGAACAGGTTTAACAACAAAGCAAGTGACACGCGTTTGTGGGCCATTGAAGTGGAGATCCGAACGCCCGTCAAAAAACCTGGATTGGCCGCGATTCGCTTTGCCACCAGCTCGAACAGTCGAGTCAAAACGAAGTTCTATTTACAGAAACACTAAGGGTGGGTTTGGGGAGGAGAAGGGGGGGGGGGGAACAAGTGATTTCTCTGTTACGAGATTTGGAACAGTGATGAGGAATGTCTTGCTTGGATTTTGAATTCGCAGGGTGTGTCAGTCATACTCGAAAAGCGCATTGATCATCAGCCAATCTCTGCCCATCGCGTCAGCAGGATGATATTGAGTATATTGTAGCATATCATATCAGAATATGTATCTCTGGTGGGGAGAGTTTAAGTTGCTAAAAAGGTATCGGATGAGAACGGCCCCGGGGCGAAGTGATCCTCGTAGCTGGGATGAACTGTATGGATTCAAATGCACAATGGAGAGAACCTGCGTATTCCAGACTTCTTCAGACTCCAGACCGATTTTGCTCAGTACCGTACAGTGGGTGGGTGCCCTTACGGGTAGATACGGGATGGGAAAGGAAATGCTATCCACCATGGTTACTTAGACTATTGCTCAACATGCCATTCGCAGATCATACTATGTAAATTATGGTGCAAGATGTGATCGATGCATCTGGAAACTTCAATTGAAAACAAATAGCTGATCCTCTCCAAAACCAAAGCCGGGGATTTTCATATGCGAATGCTACTCTGTGCAATTCGAATCTGTATTTGTACAATTATCCTTACCCGTTGCGGAGCTCTCCGACTTGCGAAACCACCCTTTGTTTCTGTGTTAGAAGTCCAATCTTTGCTGTTCAATTGATCTAGATTCATCAGGGAGGCTCCTCTCTCCTCTGGGTTATTGCCGACGCAACTATGGCTTGTAATAGACAATTGGCGTACTGTAATCAACCACGCAACCACCTATTAGTTGATTCCGAGGCAGGCCCCATATCAGGGAAGATATATAAAGTCGATACACTCATCCAACCCAGCAAAGACGTCTATCAACCACTTTCCTGCCCCGAGTACATGTAATTATAGTATATTATAAGGATCATGGCCACCTAGGCCGTATGAAGAGCAGCCACAATAGCCCAAACGACGACAAAGTTCGAAAGATAAACATCAAAAAAACGACGTCTCCCATCAAAATCGAAGGCCCATCATGCCGTAACACCATATAAGTTAACACCCATTTCCCAGAGACTAATCGATTACTCAAATGTAGCAGCATCGTAACCATCATCATCATCGAATAATAAGCCAACCCCATGCCAAGCATGCAGTTCACCCAGTGGCTGCACCTCCTGCATGGAGACGAAACCAGTCTCGGCGGTAAACAATGCTGCATCAAAGTCATTCCACGGCCGGATCAGCTCCTCCCCAACGTCGGCGCTACGACTAATCCCATCAACAGCAACCTCCAAGCCACCGCAGGGCTGAAGCTGGCGCATCGTCCCTATTTCCGACGCCCCGTAGTTCTTCCCCTCCTTCTCCTGCTGCAACAGCGACACCTCCGTCTTCGCCGTCGCCGTTGTCGCTGCTGCCACCCACCCAACCTTCATCTTCTCCATCATCCCAGCAACATACCTCCCCGGCGTAACGCCCATGACCTTCCTGAACACGCGATGAAAGTGACTGGACGTGAGCCCAGCCTCGGTCGCAAGGATGTGAAGCGTGGGCTTCGACCCCGACTGGACTGCCGACGCGATCGTCTGACATGCTTGGTGCACCAGCTGAACCTGAGGACTACTACAACTGCTGCTGTTGCTGCTGCTGCCGCCACCGCCGTCAGTCTGCAGGGTCTCGGGTCTGCAGCGCTTACACGCCCGGAACCCTGCCCTTTCTGCCTGGGAGGGCCGGTCGTAGAAGCGGACGTTGGCCCGTCGCGCGAGCCGGGCAGGACAGGAGGCGCGGCAGTATATTTTGGTCGTTAGGACGGCGTAGACAAATGTGATGGCGGCGGGATCACGCTTGACGACGGCCTGCCAGCGCGCGGAGGCGCAGGCCGGACCGGGTGAAGGAGGGATCAGGCGAGGAGGAAGCTTGAGGGGTGGTGGCTTTTCTGATCCATTGGGAGAGGGCGCGGATGCTTCGGGCATTAGTTGAGCGGATTATCACAGGGAGATGATGTTGGTTGTAGGTGGTTGTTCAAAAGTGCATATGTATGTCTTTTGAGTAAGTTAAGTGACGGGAGTGTACACTTCTCTTCTACTCAGGATAAAGTCTCAGGGCTGTGATTGGTCACTTTGAAAGCAACATATTGTCTCCCGACGTGGAATTTTAGGTAGGACAGCCGATGAAGTCAGGAATGCGCGGGGATAATTCCCATATCAGTCGATAGGTTCCTTAGTTGATAATAGTGTGTACGTGGTGTATCATGAGATTATGAAGGATAAGTCTATACTATCCGACAATTTGCGGCCGCAGCACACTTTGCAGGTTAAAGATGTAGGACAACGTTGATGAGCGCGACTGCAATTTACACCATAATCACAAGTCCCGAGACAAATTTCTCGCTACGATCTCATGCTGTAGAACACATCGAATCCTCAGTATGACACTGGCAGTGAGAGCAGCTCCGTCTAGCAGAACCTTCGACTGCATCATCTACACTATAGCGCACCAGCAAGCCCCGCAACAGAGATACGTGTTCAAGCACAGGCACAGGAGTTGAATTTTTAACCCGTTTTTCTTTTGCTTTGGTCATCATGAAAATATTTGTTGGCCACAACCTAACTTGGCTAAGGACGCATGGGAGATTATCCGCAGTCGCCTAAGTACATATGCCTCATAGCAAAAGAGCATTTTCAACCCGTCACAAAAAGCACTCCACACCATAACCCGCTTAGTCCTTGGTCTTCTGGGTACCGCGGAGCAGACCAGTTCTCCGGGCAGCAATGAGACCGGCTTTTTGACCGTGGGCGGCGTAGCGGGAGATGGTAGAAGCCTTACCGATGTGCTGGTGGTTACCACCACCGTGAGGCTGTAGAGGAAATACTTGTCAGCACCCATTCCATCTCGTTCAGGCACGACTGCGCGACGCAGCCCAGAAAAGGGGAGTCTTACGTGATCGACGGGGTTCATGGCAACACCACGAGTCTTGGGCCAGGAGTTGCGCTTGACAGCGAACTTGTGCTTGGCACGAGAGGCCTCTGTAGGTAGATGTTAGCGGCCGATTCGCATCCAACTGAATTTCCTTCTCCGGTCTCCCGTTTTGCTGGAGCCAGATTTTTTCAGAGAGGAGAAAACGTACTGAGCAAAGGCTTGTCGGTACGACCACCACCAGCGACGATACCAACCATACCACGGGCGGTGTTCTTGATGACCTTCTTGGCACCGGAGGGGAGCTTGACACGGGTCTTGCCCTCCTCAGGGTTGTGTCCAATGACGGTAACGTAGTTACCGGAGGTACGACCAAGAGCACCACGGTCGCCAGCCTTCTCCTCAACGTTGGTGATAACGGTACCCTCAGGAACGGAGGCGAGGGGGAGGATGTTGCCGACAGTCAGGGTGGCGTTCTTTCCGGCGTAGATGAATTGACCGGTGTACATGCCCTCGTTGGCAATGAAGGTCTCGGTAACGTGCTTGAACTTGTAGGGGTGACGGAACTGGACCTTGGCGAGAGGAGCACCACGGCCGGGGTCGTGGATGATCTCCTTCACAACACCACGAGTGTATCCATGACGCTCAGCGTAGTCGAGGACACGGAACTGGGCAGGGGCCTTGTTGAGACGGGTGTTGGCCGCTACAGTCGAGATTTTTGCATCAGCATTTCGGGATTCTGGCACAGAGGAGATTTCGAATTTCATGAATATTGCGGTCGCACTCACTGAAAATGCTTCCACGACCCTTCCTCTGGTTGCGGATCACACGACCCATGGCGACTTTCTAGATAGGGACCTGGTGTTAGTATTCAAGAGGAGTCCGCCGGCGACCTGGTGGTGGGAGAGTTCGAGTTCTCGTACCTCAAATCTAAGATGACCTTGTCGGGTTGGTGTTGAGAATTCGTCGGCGAAGGGCTGTGTGGGCTTTAGGGTGGAAGTCGCTAATCTAACCGCGTCGGGGCTAGCGTGTATGAGTGAGCGGTGGCTGCCACTTGGGTGTGGCGCGGGTCGCTTCTGACTAAGCCCGGTAGGGCAATTGCACGGTTTGAAACCTACTGTGCCACTACGGAGGCTGAAGAGGACCAACTCGGCAAGCGGACTTGAGCCGATTACCAACCATTCATTCATTGATGCAGTGCATAAGTCCGTCCCTGTCCCTCTCTCTGTCCCTCAGTTCCAGTAACTAAGTTACTAACTGAGTATCAAGTTAAGCATGTCGGACTTTAGACATGTACTGCCCTGCCCTGCCCGTACCACTGTGCTTACCTTTACCCCTCCTGCCATACCATAAAAAAACCTCTTCTTTCCATACTGCGAGTCGCTTATCGACTATTTACCCTACATGTTAGTACAATACTGCACTTACATCATCTATGATGATATTATCGACAAACTCCACTCAGAGGGATGCATCATTCACGGCTCATCGAGCACTATCGACTCAATCCGGGTACAATTGAGAGACACCCAGTGTTTGAGTTGCTGATTCGTGTATATCCTGTTTGTCCTCATGAGCTGACCGCGTTTAGTAGTACAATTTTATCCCGAAGCCTTCCAGCTTCTAGGTATACGGGATGGGCAGATGAACACCCACATCCGGTCGCAACAAATAGCTGAGAACTTCCATGTTGATGCAGCTCAGATAGGCCGATTTGTGCATTCATTATTAGCACGCTTTTGGTTTGTGCCTCGGTGTTCGCGACGCCCCGTGCGTCTATATCCATGCTGTCAATTACGGATCGAAAGCCGCCTGGCAACATGGTATACCGCGAGCGGGGCAAGTCCGTTTAGGCTCGCCTGACGCGTCCATGCGAGCCTATATCCATTCATGAAAGTGCATCCTGCCAGGTACATCGCACTGCCCAGGCAGATATTCATGCCTATAAGGTGACCGAACATGAGGGTATACCTCTGTCTGGTCGACAGACATCTCCCAGAGCACAGTGCTGGTCGACCCCGATCTTCTCCTGGTAATTCCGTCACCCCTGTGACTATGGTCATGTTGGAGAAAATCTCAATGTACAATGACCTCTGATTTTGCTTGCCATCCTGTTGACCCAGGCATACAGTACAAGTAGACGGCGCTCTTGGTTCGATGATTCCACTTCTTTAATTTGATCTCTCTCCATGATTCAACATATCCCCCGTATAATGCGCGTGCTGCCTAGAACCTATTGAATGGATCATACAGTTCTATGTGCCATTGATGCAAAGCAAACCCAGACTATCGCCGGAGGGTTGGTGCTGATTGGTGCTGATCATCCCTGGATAAGGGCTGTTTTCTTGATGATGCCAGAAACGCCAGGCGCGTAAAAGCCGCGCTTCAACCGTAGTGCAAAGTAGAACTTCTCTGCGCCGCGGACCTGCCCGCTCGACCTTGTATCAAACATCTCCCCTCCTCACAAGCATCGGACAGCCACACAACCATGTCGAACCTGTCCCTTTCCGACTCAGAACTCTCGTCGCTTTCCTCGGCACCCCCGTCGGATGAAGAGACGGGGTCTATGGCCTTGGATGAGCCCGTGGGAATTACCAAGTACTTCAAGAAGGAATCCGAATCTCCGCCGCCGAAACGGGAGCCCTCACCACCCCATGAATATGTGCTAGCAGACAACTCCGATATTGCAGTATGTGACTCACTGAAATGCTGACCTGCTTGAAGCCTCCCGAAACTTATCCAACGCGTTGTTCACGTTTCCGGGATCCAGTGTGCTGACCTGTCGCAATCCCTAGTTCATTGTGATGTTCCGCGCGCGTTTCCATGATGTATTCCCGCGATCGGCACCACACTTTGGACCACAGGATATTGAGAGAGGTGTCGCCGAGAGCACCCCCGGCGATCATATTGAACGGCTGCTTTGTGCATTGCTAGGATTGGTGTTAAATAGGAAGAAAGATGTGGAGTATGACCGCCGCCCGCAACCCAGAACCCGCTCCATGGAGGTGTCCGCCAGGACGGATTGACCACCTACAATCTGAATCTTCCGGTGCATACAGAAGACTAACACTCGGTGACAATGCGCAGTCGGAATCACTACACGCGTCCCTTGGAGGAGGCGATCCAGACGCATGCCCCCCAATGGCCTAGGGCTTGGCAAGGCAAGAACCCTCTGCACGGGGGTAACAACTTCACAACCATGAAGCCGGGAGAACGCGTATGTCGCGCGGTCGCATCACCCAGCACAACCTTACTGACACACTCTAGTTGCTCCTACTCAAAACGTTGATCCTCTGGTCCCTTTCCTCCTCCGACGCCGTCCAAGCCAAGATCAAAGAATCCTACAAGCAAGCACGCCACGAGGACGACCTCAACCAACCGCTCTCCGTCCAGCCGTGGGGTCGCGACGGCCTCAAGCGTCGATACTGGCTCATTGAAGGCCTGGATGACACTCACTTCAGACTATACCGCGAGAGCAACCCGGCGTTAAAAACCAACACCTGGTGGAGCGTGGCGGGGAGCATCCCGGAGCTGAAGGTCATCGCGGACAAGCTCGACGAGGAGAAGAATATCCACTCCAAGAAGCTGAGCGAGAAGATCCGAAACTCAATCCCTCGGTTCGAAGGATCAGAGGAGGTAAGTCTCGGTCGCCCCCTTGGGAAGCTAACGACCTGCGCTCACCATTAAAACAGAAACGCAAACGCCGCGACTACCGGATTGCTCGGAAAGCACAATTCGCTCGCCCCGAGCCTGGCTTCTCCCTCTACGAAGGCCGCACTCGCGGCAAGAAGTTGAAATACACCTACTCCGACGATGAAGACATCTTCTCCGACGGCCTCCCCTCGACGCGACGCTCGACACGAAATACCTCGGGGGTGTCTACTCCCGTAGAGCCAGCGGGTCCCAGATACACAGCCAGTGGCCGACAAATACGCTCTCGCGCGGGCGGACTGTACGGCGAGTCCTTGCTCGCCGGGCAACGGGACGATGCCCAGACCGGCGACGAGGGCAGGCCCACGCGATCGAGGGCGAACCGGGCCAATGGGTATACCGATTACGGTCTGGATGAGGAGATGGAGGAAGGCTCCGCTGGGGCGCAGTCAAGCGGTAACGAATGGCAGGGCGGCGAGGAGGAAGAGGACAATGACTTTGAAGGGGATGACGAAGAGGAGGCGAGCGGCGATGAGGAAATTGCGAACGGCGAGCCACCCAGCCTGGTGGTACAGCTCCGATACAACAAGGACAAAGGCAAGGAGACGAGCAGCTCGGCAGACCCTGCTGAAACTGAACGACCATCGGAGGAACATTCCGAGACCAAGCACGAAGCATTGAGTCAATCTTCCGGCAACCCACCTCATGCCCATTTACCGTCCCTAGGGACCGAACCATCTGGCACGAAGCCGATCACCGCAACCAGCGCGGCTGTTCCTCTGGAGCCGAACAGCACTGGTCCCCATACCAATACTCTTGCGCCTGGGGCTTCAGTATAAGTCACGGGCGAAACTATCCAATAAGCAGCAGCACCTTCAATTGATACTAGAGCTATCAAGCGGCTATCTTTAGCAGAGAAACCATTCTTCTTTATCCTCACCACTGATAATATTATTTGCGAGAGCGTTCCCTTTGGTCAACTGTCAACTGTCAACTGTCAACTATACGGGTCAAAACATGGGATCTATCTGTTAGGCGTTTTTTCTCTATATCTATGGAAGGGGTCAGGTAGCATTGTGAATCACGATTTCCGAGTGGCGTGGGGCGTGCAAAAAGATACATTATTCATAAATGAGATGATCTATGTTAATGCTTACATCTGATATGTGAGTGTCGTTTGTCCGGGATGGGCTCTTTCTACATGGCTCTTCTCTCCAGATGCCGTCAGCGGACGGAGCCCGCCGTCTAAGAACAGGAGCTGGGACATTTATGCAATAGATACATAAATATACCTAAAACTACAGATTGCATGATCTAGCTAACCAGACGAAACAGTACGACCGGGGAAACGAGAACACCACGGGCATAAAACCTCCAGGGCTCTTCGGATGCAACGCCCGGTTGATGCTGTCAAAGAAGGAAAGAAAAAAAAAAGGGTATGGTTCATGAATCCACCGCTTCCTGATAGAATGAATGCGAACGCCGTAACGCTAAACACCCGAAATGCAAGAAGAACCCCCCCACCCCAAACGAACAAAAGCAGTCTTTAAGCAACTCGGTCGCATTTAGAGTGCCCCCAAAATCATTTAGGTGGCATTCGAGAACTGGGCCGTGTAGAACTGCAGAAACTCCGAGAATGTCAGAGGGTCAAAGAATTCCGGTAAAGGGTTCGTGCAGATAGGGAGGGGGTAGACTGAGAAACATGGGCAAAAACACTCACGTCATCTACCTTGGCGGCCACCCGAGGATCTTTGGCAGAGCCCAAAGGAGGGAGCTTCCAGTTGTTGACCTCGTACCACCATCGACGGATTCTGCTGCCCAGGGTCTGTCCGCTGAGGGAGGCATTGCGGTTCCAGAAGCGCCAGCCGGAGAGGGCCAGAGTCCAGAGCGTACCCTGCATCAGAGGAAGGAGGACCTGATGGAGAAAGGAAAAATGGGGGTGAGCGGGAGATTCAACCTGGTTTTGACGGAAGAACATCCCCCTAGAGAATGCTTCCTGTCTGGGAATTGAGAGGCAGGGGTGGGAGGTTACTCACCTGGTCTCTGATGGTGATCCACGCAACTCTTCCCCAGGTATCGGCGCCACGCAAGCTGGCGAGATAGCTCTGTTCGAAGCGCAGGTCGGGCAGTGGGGGGAAATTATGGCGCCGGGTGGCCGGTCTGACCATATGGCGAGGGTCGACGATGTCGGACGGGATGCTGCCAGCTTCGGAGGGAGCATCGTCAACCACGGGCTGCTTTTCGGAGGCTGCGGTCGGCGGGTTGACGTCGTGGTCCGGCGAGGGGTTTCGGTTGATCGAAGCCGTCTGGATGACCTCGGGAATTTGAAGGACAGGGTCGGTCATTGTGGTGTTATGATTGGTATTGAGAGTACTTGAATTCGCGATGGGAGAGAAACGTTGTTGGGTGTTATACAAAGCAATAAACAGGACGGTTCACTTGGTAGTAGCTCTCCGTCGGACAAGTTGAAGGGAACCTTGAAGGGAACCTTGAAGGTCGGAGGCCGGAGGAACTCCCTTGCTCGGCCCAATCAGACTCCGCCGGCCCCTCCTCCGCCCATCAGCCAGTTCAAGTCGGTTTAAGTCAGTTTAAGTACTCCGAACGCCCTCTCATCCTCTCTCTTTCTCCCCTCTCTCACACCCCTAACCTCTTCTTTCCCCTCCCAATTCATCCCATACTTCACCTCCACCTGTCACAATGGCTGCTGCTCAGGGCTACCCTTTGTTGTGTCTCGAGAACCCCCTCCTGGGTGCGTGGGATCTTCTCCTTCTTACCCCCTCCCCCCCCCCTGCCCCTCCCCCACTCCGGTTTGTCCCCAGGCTTAGGCTAACATCAAGCTTACGAGCTATACAGATATCCAGGCAGTCGGGTATGTCACTTATCTCCTATCTACTCATCTCTTCGATTCATCGTATTATTGCAAAACTCAAGCCTTGCTGACTCTTGCCCCCGCATAGTGATGCCGCTCTCCTGGAGAAGTATGGCCTGAAGGACAACGATGCTATCCTCGCCGAAGATAAGCACATGGGCCTGTATGAGGAGCTCCTCGGCCTTGATGCCAAGCTCATTGCTGGTGGTGCCGCTCAGAACACTGCTCGTGGTGCTCAGGTATGAGTCTCATCATATTCTCCGTTCCCGGGTCGGAGACTATTTACTAACCGCCAGGCGGATTTAGTACATCCTTCCCGAGAACTCCGTCATGTACATTGGCTGTGTCGGCAAGGACAAGTACGCCGATATCCTAAAGGAGGCCTGCGCCAAGGCTGGTGTCCACACTGAATACCGTATCGATGATGTTCAGCCCACCGGCAAGTGCGGTGTCATCATCACCGGCCACAACCGTAGCATGTGCACTCACCTTGCTGCCGCCAACGAGTACAAGCTTGACCACCTGAAGCAGCCCCACGTCTGGTCTCTCGTCGAGAAGGCCCAGTTCTACTATGTCGGTGGCTACCACTTGACCGTCAGCGTTCCTGCCATCCAGGCTCTGGGCGAGGAGGCTGCCGCCAAGAACAAGGTCTTCATGCTGTCCCTCTCGGCTCCTTTCATCCCGCAGTTCTTCAAGGAGCAGCTCGACAGCGTCCTGCCCTATACCGACTACACCTTCTGCAACGAGACCGAGGCTCGTTCCTACGCCGAGAGCCACGAATGGGGCACCGAGGATGTGGTTGAGATCGCCAAGAAGCTGGCTCAGCTCCCCAAGAAGAACACCAGCCGTCCCCGCGTTGCCATTGTGACCCAGGGCACCGATCCCACCGTCGCCGCCACCGTCAAGCCCAACGGCGAAGTCGAGGTCAAGCAGTTCCCCGTTCGCGAAATCCCCAAGAGCAGCATCAACGACACCAACGGTGCTGGGTGAGTAAACCGAGATTTCTTCCCTGTGATCCGAGAATCCCGATTCTGATTCTTCTATAGTGATGCCTTCGCCGGTGGTTTCTGCGCCGGTGTTGTCCAGGGCAAGTCCCTCGAGGAGAGCATTGATCTCGGCCAGTGGCTCGCTTCCCTGAGCATCCAGGAGTTGGGACCTTCGTAAGTTTCCCGACCTAGCTTACAACTCAGTTTCACAGTTAGAGAGTGATAGGCTAACGTCCATTCTTCCACTTCTAGCTTCCCCTTCCCCAAGCAGACCTACACCCCCTCCAACTAAAATCTCCCCACCACGCAGTCATACTAAATCAAGGTTCCGTCCGACATCACGGGACTGAGGACATAAAATATATATGTCGTAAGGCCAAACCACCAAGTTTAAACAAAAAATCTTTTCCTTTTCTTTTTTTTTTAGTTTAGGATTCAACCTTCTATACCCAAATTCTCTGTCGATGACTTAACGACTTCGACCATTTCTTTCCTCCTTTTCTTTTTCCCAAATGTTCAATGAATGTTGTGTGAAAGGTGCCTCTCTCCGATGGAAATTCAATAGATACCAAGACCGGAAGTGGCGCGGATGAACGTTCTCAACAACGAACTATGATGATGACCATGTGCTATTCCTCGGGTTCCAGATAATATAGACCGTAAAAACACGTTATGTGTGTGTCGCATAAGGGGGTAGAAGTCTTGCTCTCAATCAATTGGCCCTGTGGAGCTCAAGGCTGGCAGTAGACACATTGACTAGAGTAGCTTCAATCGAGAACAGCGATACGACACCGAAGTGATTGAGTATGATTTTGAGTATGAGAGTACAATTTGAAACTAGAAACCAGCTCGATACATCTTCAAGGTTGCCTGCCATTGGCGCTAGTATCCATCCAGCCTCAGAGAGCTAGGTGAATCAAGCTTAGTAGCATGGGAATGATAACGCGATACGGAGAAACCCGAATAACCTGATGCTTGCACCCCTCCAGCTCCGCGCTCCGCTCTCCGCTCTCCCCGCTCTTTCCCCTTAACTTTCTCACACATTGGAAAGCAGACCAACCAAGGATGCCCAGACGCCCAGACCATACCATTCTCGCCCGGCCTATGTTTGCATGTTTGGTTCGACCTCTCCCGCAACCTGGCTTGAGCTGAATCTATAGCTATAGCATGAAGGAGAATTGGACGATTGCAGCTGGCTATGTACTGCTAGTCCTATCTGCCTCCGAGGCTCAATCGCCATTATCCATACTGAGAATCCTCTTTGTTCATTCTTTCAATCGGTCATCTGCTTTCGTCTCTCTGTCCATTTCAGGTCTGCGTATACGCGGAGATACTACGCGTATATCTGCGACTAAAAGGATCTAGAGAGGGGATCCTAGCAGAAAAGAGAGACATACAGATTGGGATTGTTGGGAACCCGCTTTCATCCGCTGGTCTCAATCGCATAATCGGCAGGATTGGACAGAAGTCATGGCGATTCATCTACTAGACAAAGCACGTCGACAGGATCAACCGCCGTGGCCATAGCGAGTGCTATTTTGACCAATAGCGCCGTACTGTGGAGAAGATTGGCGGGCACTGCTGTTGAAGCCAGAAGAGCTAGGGTAGCCTGCGCCGGAGGACAACGTACTGGCAAGGAAGGCATCATTGGCCCAGGATGAGTTGATTGGACCACTAGGGGAGCCCATGTTTGGTGCTGATGCCGACGATTGGTTGGTGGGAAGAGCAATCGACCCCCCACTGACACCCGCCTCTAGAAGTGCTCGGTCCCATGCAAGACCGGAAAGCCGGTGGCTCTGGGTTGATGGACTCGAGGAGGGTATCCAGGAGGAGGGGACCGTGCCTGGGCCTGGGCCGGGGATACGGTGGAGGTATCCAGCGGCTGGAACTTGGTTCATCAGACTCTGGCGAAGCAGTAGCTCGTTCGCAAGTGACTCGTGAGATGGGTAGTGGCTCGACGGGCTGCCGATGCTTCCCGAGAGTGAATGAGTTGGGTACCGATGTCCGAGACCAGGAGGGGTTCGAGGAGAGGGAGCATCACCACCGAGGCTGGAAGATAGGGTTGTGTTCCAGATGCTGGGAATGCTGGGAAGCGCAGGCCGTGCAGTATAGGACTGGGATGACGAAACACGGGCAAGAGGGGCCGAGCCGCTGGCCACGGGCGGCGCAAGTCCTGGAGGGGCGACCGGAGTTTGCCGAGGAAGAAGATCCTCGCGGAAGATTGTCTCCGTGCTCGGATCAAAGTATTGACTTGATGGCCGCTGCCGGCTACCACCTTGCGGAAGAGTCAGGCTTTCTGGCACGCTCGGGGCGTTCTCGTACGTGTCCGAATCAACCAGACGTTCCACGCCTTCGAGTATGCGGTTCATACTAGCAGACATCGATGCCGACTGCGATCCACCGTAAACACTCGGAGCATCTGGAGCGTGGTTGAGGTCGAGGTTGGCTTGTTGTATTTCCTCGCGTTCAACACTCGCGGAGGACAGCGTGTGATTGTGCCCCGCGGGACTGGCAAAAAACTGCGAAGGGAGGTCTTCCTCCTTGTAGATGAAAGTCTTCTTGTCTTCGTCATCAACAAGTGCGATGGGGATCTTATTGCTGACTACCAAATCCAAGCCATCGATCACAAACTCGCGGATGCGGTAGAGCATTTCCATGTTGGGGTGATTACGTTCCACACCTGGGTCGTTCATTCGAGGCTTCTGTTGACCATTGGACCCCAGGTATCTGCGACAAGTTGTGTCCTTGCTCAGGGGCGCAAAGGCCAGAGTCTCTTCGTCTTCTTCCAAGAGATAGTCGATTTCGGGGAGGTGCACTACGTCGAAAGTGGAGGCCAGAAGAGTCAATGTGTTGGCGTATATCTTCCAAAACTCCGTGATTTGAACCGCCAAAGGTGTATCCTTTTCTTGTTTGTGCGCTGCTAGCAAGTGGCTGACCGTGAGCAACCAGGAACTGTAGTTTCGGAGTGCGGGAAGAACCCGACGAGCGACCACAGTGACCTTGTCAGGACCGGTCTGCGCGTCTTTGTTGCTCGAATCTTCAACCGCAAATCGCTCTACTTCTGCAAGAAGAATCTGAAGCAGGGTGAAGAACGTCTTCACATTGATCCGCTGAAAGAAAGCGCGCGCATTGGACACGGACTCCTCTAAATCTTGGTTCAGTGCATGACACTTGGACATTTACGCCATTAGAAGACTTACCGTTCGAGCGTAACCTAGAGAATTCTTCTGCGCTGATGTTGATTAGAACGAATTTCTGTAAAGTGCCTTCGAGCGAGCGTTCCTTCAAGTCAACAGCGAGTTGGTTGAGTACTTCGCTCTCCAGCTCATCATGCTCTGGGAAATCGACCCCCTTATAACATTGTGCATGCAGATATACAAACCAAGGAGCCAATGCTCTGCCGGGAATCCCAGCATCTTCGGGACGGATCAGCTCCCGCTTGGCCCATGCACTCATGACTTTTCTAAACTCGATCTCCAGGTTACCCTTAGCTGACGGGTGCGGCTCCTGGGCTGCTAGAGCCCTATACAAATGATACGTAGCGCGAAGGTGATTGCCATCAGCCAATGCAATGACTGCTAGCTGATTATGCGACGCGCCAGAGACTGGGTATATCAGAGTAGCCAGGTCATAGTAACCGATCGCGGGCCCCCAATTGCGCTCCTTTGTGACCAGCTCGGTCTCGCGATAACGGGAAAGATCGCCGAGACGAATCAAAGTCGCATGGCAAGATTGAAGGATCCGCTTCCTGAGGGCTTCCGTAGGTTGCAAGGGCGGCTCCGCCGACAGATCTGTGAAGGGTTTAGACTCCAGAAAACGGTGGGTTCGCCAAAGCTGACGGGACCGGCAGTTTGCTCACTGTCGAAATTGAATTTCCGGGCAACCTTTTCCAGCTCCGGAATCCCACCGACATGGGAGGACAATTGTTGGATGTAGCCTCGATAGAATCGCTGACTGGATTTGATGAATTCGAGGTAGTGCTTCTCGAGCTTCCGTTTCTCTACCGGTTTCTTCTTCTTCCCGTTTTCCTCGCGGAACTGCCATCGCACATCAGGGATTAGAGACGGAAGCAGACAGGGCCACCGTAGGACTCACGCGAGACAGCAATTTACGAAATCGAGTGTTGATTTTGAGATGACTATCCCAGAGGCGTCCTTCGACATCCGCGGAGCGGGCGGCGTCGAGGTCCTGAAGAATAGCATTTTGGCAAGCGGAGCGAAGTCTGCGACGGACGAGGACGACAAGACAACGGTCAGATCAGTTTTGCGCGCAACAGGAGGACGGCGGAAGGGAAATTCAGTTACTGACTCCGACAGGTGATGGGAGATTTCGGCAAACGTGGGCTCTTTTTCGGCAAGGCTCTTCAAAAGCTCTTTCTCGAGATTGAGCGCAATTCTGTGCGATGCAAGGATTAGCAACGTCAATGGGGATTAGACCGACGCGGAGGGAGGGGGGGAGGGGGGAAGGCAAGGGTGACTGACTGCCACGTATCCTGGAACGCGGACGCCATGCTCAGGAGATGAGATCACCGGAGCCCGCTTCACCTCCACCGTTGACTTCGCCGTCAGATGGCTATGGCTGGTTGCGAGCGTGCGGGCGACAAGGGTAGTGAACGATCCATCAGTTAGTGATAGTATATACAGAACGAGCGCGGTGAGCGGGGACGGTATGCAATTTCAAGAACGTCAGGGAAGAGGAGGGGGGTTGTGAATAAGTGACCCCGATTGGCAGCACGTATAAAAGAAGAAGTGAGAAGAAAAGAAAGTCAAAAGAAGCTCCAAAGGGAGGGTAGTGCTAAATCCAATTCAGGACGAACAACGGAGGGGTTGAAGGCCGCCGCTCGCTGAAGGGAAAATCCCATGAGAACTTTATGACGGGGAACTTTTCTTCTCGAGGCCGACAAAATAGAATCTAGTAAGAATAATGCGGCACTGCGGGAGGAACGGAGAGGCAGGCGGTCAGGCCTATCCACCCAATAGAGTCAGCCGTGGCCGCGATGCTTCCTACTTTACTATAGATTGGATTATAACTTCCACATCTCCAGCTTACCTGAATTACTTTCGACTTCGAGATACATGGTCAAAAGACAGGCACGAGTTCCTCTCAGACTCACTGCTTCGTCGTTAGATAGCTATGTAAGTACTGACTCTACCCCAACAGCAACGATAAATCCTGACCCATCTGCACAGGCAGAAAGATTGACCTCCTTCCACCAATGGATGGTCCAAGTGTCACGCCATTGCTGCAGAGTGAACTATTACCTCGCAACTGACCTATCACTGTCGCAATTCTCTCCTCAAACGCAGGACGGACAGCAAGTTCGGCCAACATGTCCATCAAACGCGCCCGCAGCGACTCCGACTCGCCTGCCGCCGCCGATCTGTTGTCGTCCGAGGAGGATGGGGCCCCGTCCTGGCCAGCATCCCCAGCATCCTCCACCGCGCCCTCTCTCGGACGCTCCAAAATGCACTTGCCCGACACGGCCGCTCCGGTTGCTGAAGTCATGCACTGCTCCCTCCCACCGCACCGCGAGACCATCGTCTTCGCCTCCTACGACGATTACGAGGTCCATTACCGGCAGTCACATGTCAACCGCTGCTCTCAATGTGGGAAGAATTTCCCCACGGATCGTTTCCTGAATCTTCACATCGAAGAGAACCATGACGCCATCGTCGCTACGCGACGGGAACGAGGCGAGAAGACGGTATGGGGATTTCCTTTTCCATTCCCGTAACCTAAACCACCTAACCTTTTTGTCTGGCCTAACCGCTGACCCTGCATTGCTGTTTTGCTGTTGGGGGGAAAATCCAGTACGGGTGCTTCATCGAGGACTGCGAGCGCAAATGCTCCACACCTCAGAAACGCAGAATGCACCTCATCGACAAGCACATGTTTCCCAAGGTATGGGCATGGCCCTTCCCGTCGTTTGCTGCGTACTACGGCTTCCCTTCTGGTGGGCTTGTTCTAATTCTCAGAACGGCCGAGCAGACGTACAATTTCTACATAGTCAATGATGGGATTGATAAACAGACCTCGTTGTTGCGGCCAACCAAGACGCACCGGCGCCGTCTATCTACTACTCCAGCCTCGCCCCAGGAAGGGCGGCTGAGGAACAGACCGACTTCTGGGTCCTTTTCGAGCGCGAACTCGGGTGTGCAACAGACTCTCGCGACCCCCGCGGTCGCCGATGAGATGGAGATCGCCGAGCTGGAGAAGTCCATGTCTGCGCTGCGATTCGTGCCAACCAGTGTTACGAGGAACCATGGCAGGGTTGGAAGGAGATCTTGACCTTGCGGTAGCTCGGCATATAGCTTACGTCCTACTTGGAAGATCGAAGCAGGCACACGAACAGAATCTGTGATTCTTCGCTCGCAGTTTTCTGACGCCGGATCATTCAATAACTCATATTGCTTTTTCGGCGCCTTGCTCAAATTGGGAACCAGGTCACATAGCAAAAGGAACTCTCCAGAAGGACCTGCAATAACTATCACATGCGGGGAAGAGCATCGATGACGTTTCTGTTCCTTCGTGTTATCAGAGCCTAAAGACTCCCTCCCGTGCCGGAAAGCACCTGCCATAGTCGGCAGATTGAGACTCATGTCACAGGCGAGTGATAACGGCGCAGGAGTTCGCTCTGCTCCAGAAGACATAGCGAGACATAGCAAATCATAACCTATCTATATACAGGGGTAATAAGGGAATATGAAGACTTCGAGCAGCGTGGGTATACAGCAACATGATATATCGTTCCCAGTAGAATAGCCAAAGGATCAACATGACAATCTAGGAATCGGAAGCTATTGTTCGGAGGGCCTTGGTGGCAAGCAAATGTTCAAGCCAAAGGACGCTGGAGTGTCCCATAGTAATTCCACGGCGTGGAGCGGTCATGGTGTGGTTTCAAGAAGATCAGCATAGGCATCTAGGCTTGAACCAACCAGATCTACTATGGCCCAGCTGGTGTTTCCCTTAAAAGTTCGTGCCCACACGCGAACGATAGCCACACTCAGCTGTTTTGCTTTGTATGGATTGGCAATGAAATCCATATCCGGTGCTCCCGGTGGATCGACAGCCATGTCGGTTTCGTCCATCATGCTCTTGATCCAGAGGAGTAGCTTTCTCTCGTGGTCTGAGAGCCTTTGCTCAGCATGGGTCACTGGTATTGAGAGCAGCCATCGGCTGAGAAGGAAGGCACATTCCAGACTACAGAGAGAATGCTGAATGCTCCAGAAGAAAGAATGGGTTCTGGCGACGAAGTCGATGCCTAGACGCACCGGAATCGAAAGTGCGTGAGCAGAATGTAGTAGAGCCATAATTAGGCGAGGACTCCGAGCTATGAGCGGCGATTCACTGAGGGCCCTTGCTATCTGGCCTGGATCCTGCGTCATGAGGCGACGGCAGGGTCCCAGGTCCACATGCAATCGAATATATGCGAGGCCCAGCAGAGCGGTCGATGTGAATGCAATTGGTCCTGCCGGGTTCTGTGGATCAATGCTGGACTCGGGAGTGCGTTTCCATAGTGCCTTCCAGGCGCTCAAAGAATTATCTAGGACTGACAGATCTTCGCCCCTCAAGCTGGTACCTTGCATAGTCGGTGCAGAGAGACAGAGCTGGCGTGCAAAGAATATTTGCTGGATGAGAGCGTGAATGAGAATATAGTTTCCGAGGGGAGATATGGGTGCGGTAGGGCCCGACAAATTCGACTTGAGGAACAATTTAGCAAAAGCCTCCTGGAAGGGGACATCAGATCCATGTCGTATGCGGGCCACCCGCCGCCACTGAGCCGCGTTGGTTGCCTTCCAGACATCATGCGAGCACGGCATGTTCAATTTCAACTCCGCATTCAGAATCAGAGGGGGGATGTTGTACATAATAGAATGTAGGTTGAAGAAACAATACACGATGAGTTTCGTGCGTCGGTTGCCTTCTCTCCGGACCCACTCTTCCCAATTGTTAGGATCTGGGCTAGGAGGTGGCTCTGACAGACCATGCTCTCTGACCAGTCTTGCCAGAGTGCTCTGAAGCGAGAGGATTTCCCTCAGTAATTCGGGGTGTCTTTCCCAAGAAGCGAAAACCGTGAGCAAAAGGAAGGTTCGGATGACTTCCATATGGGCATCTGAGTCTTCCGCCGAGTAACCCGAGGGATCTGCTGGATACGGGGTGTGGTGGTGATGGTGAGATTGGGCTTGATGGTGTTGCTGAAACGGGCTACTGGCATGGTTAGATGTGGTGGAGGAGTCACGAGAGTTATGAAAACCCGATCCCGGTGATAAATAGTTCCATGTCGGGCAGGCGACTTGCTTGCTATCTCTTCTGTGAAGACGCTGAAGCAGGATGGCTTTTGCCGCATGGAATAGCTCGATCCCTCGATTGTTTTCGAAGCGATAATGGGAACCCGCTGCTGCCAATGCAAGAGTAAGCTCCGGAGAGCATTTTGCGACAGAAAGGGTGGGGACATGAATAAAGGGGAGGTGTTCATTCAATCCATTGATATAGCCGGCAAAGAAGCGCGACAAAGCGTGCCTTGAGGGTGGGACAAAGTTCTTGGGCAGTATATAAGCAAATGCCTCAAGTTTAGAGACGAAAACTTGACGATCAGCATTGGTTATATCCCACGCGGCGCGAGGTCCCTCATCCGCGAAGCCAAGGCGATCATCCACTTCATGCGGTTCTGGCTGCAAGGATGGCAATCGGGACCCGAAATTCGAGAATGATGGTGGGTCATCTGCTGCCGTTCGTGGATCACTGTGAAGCTCCGGACCGAGCCTCCCCATCTCGCGAACAGACGGCTTAGTCTCCATGGGAAGTGTGGTCGGCAACATCGGCTCTTCGACCGAGGAGAAAACCCCCGAGTCCCAGTCTGATGACAGTCCCACACTCTCCAAGAATACGGTGAAGTCTTGGACTGGGTCACCTAGATCAGCAAGGTCCAAGATCGAGGGTTCCACGCCATAATTATCAGTTATCGCTCTTTCCGGAATATGGGCGAGCGGCTGAGGAGGCGCCACGTTTTGCGAGGATTTCCGTAACGACTCAAGACTCTCCTGTTCACCCTCAAGAGCAACATGACTCGCAGCATGTGAGAGAAGATTCAGATCATAGCCCCACGATGGATTGAAATGAGTTGTTTCCACTAGGGGAGGGGGTTGCACCTGCACTTCTGGCGGAGGCTGTGGAATCGGTTGCGTGTGCAGTGGGACAGCGTCGGCAAGCTCTAGCATACGAGACTCATGATGAGAAGGCTGGATTATGGATGAGGGCGTCTGAGGAACATCCTGGTTGTTGTTCTGCGTGCGGTGATCTCGACCGGCGGCAGTTTCCGCAGGGTGGACTAGCCGCTCGTGTCGTACGAGCAGGTCACTATCGAAATTTCCCCCATATTAGCGCGCATGAACCTGGATGCCACGGGGATGAGAAGTATACCTTCTGGCAAATGATTTGGAGCATATATCACACGAGAAAGGCTTCTCCTTGGTGTCTATGGGATCGGATAGTCAGAAACTCATGTGTGGACGGGCAAAAGCCTCCTGAGGAGAGTTCGAGAGGGGGTTACTCAACGGGTGCGGAGATGGCGCTGAAGGTGTTCCAGGCGCGCAAATGATCTGCTGCAATATTCACAAGACAGAGACTTGCGATGAGCCGGGGCACTCTTCTTCCTCACTTTGCCTGGGTTGGCTCTTTCGTCCTCCATGGCGAATGGCCGTGGAATTGGACCATGTCCTTTTTGATGGGATTACAGGCGAGCGGGGAAGAAAAACTGTGGGGTCGACATGAGGGGGTTTTGCAAAAGGTCGGTCACGTGGTAGGAGCAACGCCCCGACCGGAAACCCTACTCATTGCGAGGAGTTGATTGTACTCTGGTACTGTACGTACTCTACCTGTACATTAATGGTGCACTTGATTCTACGTATCCTGAGCACAGGTAGTAATGGTCATCATCGCCTGTTCGGGGAACCTTTCCCCGCCTCAGCATCAGATGCTGCATGTCTCATAGACAGACATTTACGAGTACGGTCGCAGCTGCATTGTCCCGGTTGGCAGTCCCCGTGCGTACTGTACATCCTTCTTCTGCGATCGAGCGACTCCGCCATCCCCACTGGTGCGGAGATGTTCACTTAGGGTGATCAAATCCGCCAGCGCACTCGAAGCGTCTCCTCATTTGGGCCAATTTGCGAGGAGATTGAATGGGGACATGAATGGGGTAAATCAATGATCTCCATTTTTCTACAAGCATTCGACACTGCCAACTGAAAGATCGGTGAGGGGAAAAGGAAAAGAACCGGAGTTGGTACATATAGTACAGCGGCCAGCCCATAGATCTATAAAATGTTCCTCATCTCCCGGAGAAATGATGGTTTTGTTCCAAGCCTAGACGTGAAACACTTCACTCTGATCTTCTGACGCCGACAGAATGCGCATATATGTCAGACATATCTGATTACTCGGAAGGGATTTGAGGGTGTTCTGAAATCCCACCTGCATCGTTACTCAGGGTGCATCATGATCCCGATATAGAAGCCTGTCCTAGGATGTCCCCCTTTTCGCCTGTTGAGGCCAGTCAGTGTGGGGTTTCTGGAAGAAGGCTAAATACATCCCTTCACTACTTGTTATCGAGGCCGAAATGGCTACACGTCAACACCTAGTTATATATATAGACATATATACGAGGGTAGGGTGAACCTTAATGAAATGCAGGAGTTGCCGTTGAAATAGGCTGCATTCATACAAGTAGATAGACCACTCACTGTACTCCGTACTATATTTCAGCGAATCGTGCCTGGGATACCCCTTTCTTGTCAGCGACTTAATAGGTGATGGCTAGCTATCAGGGTTAGTGCGAATCTGCTGTTCCTGCAAAATCCTTATGGTAACTGTGAAGCCATCCCCACCATAGCCAAAGCTTGGCGAGTCAGGACGTGGTAGGATCAACCTGAAAGAACTGCCCCTTGAGTGATAGAAGGGGGCGTTGTGAGCCTGCTCGACTGTAAGACAGAATGACGTGCCGATGGCCAAGTTAGCTGGTGAAGTGGTTACAAGTTTCAACAATACCTGGCAAATCTCCGGGTTGAGCGAAGGTAGGGCTGGTGCCCGGTCCGATGTTCAATCTATTGTTACCCCCGCGGAATCGACAACAACAACAACTGCTTTCTGACCTCTGCTGGTGGCCAACAGGCAGTGGTCAACTTACAAGCATGAAGAATAATGAAAGGCAGAGGTTATGATTGGTTTGTTATGGGATTCCTTTTTCTCTTCTTTGTTTTTTTTTTTTTTCTTCCTTTTTTTCTTCTATT